TGAGTAGTCATCACATCTAGGACCCGGGTTGATAATAAAACCCAAACCCGCTATACTACGCTTTAGGAAGTGGTTACACTTGGCCATTTTCTAGAGTGACAGTAGGAGTGAGTCAATTATACGAGAGGTAGGCCTGTCGGTTCGGTTCGGTTCGGGTAACCGAACCCGAAAAACGCCAAAACCCGAAAACCCGAAACCGACTCCCACAACCCGAAACCAAAACCGGGCCTCTGTTTTGCGGGTTTCGGGTACAGGGACCCGAAATCGAAACCGGGCCTCTAGTTCTAGAATCCTCTATGTAATCCTAGCCGTCCATTTCTCATCTGCCTACCATCAATCCATTTAAATTTAACTAAGCAAAACCCTATTCACTTCCATCTCTCTTGACGGCGGAATGCTTTCCTTTCTTCTATCTTCTTGACCTTTCATATCCCCGGAGAAATTCCTCTCTCTTTTCTCAGCCTCTTTAATTTGCCTCCAACGCTTCGAACCCAGAGGAGTTGCTCGTGGAATCGCCAATCTCCAGAAGCTTCGAACCCAGAGGAGGAACAGAATAACAGGGGAAGAGCGAGGCGAAGAGCGAAGTTGATGGTGGTGAAGCGGATTCCTCCCTGTCAAAGGCTGGAACGATGATGGCGGCGTTGATGGTGGTGAAGTGGATTCCTCCCTGTCAAAGGCTGGAACGATGATGGCGGCGCGGTGAGGACGATGATGGCGGCGACGGCACGAGGTGAAGGGCTGAAGCGAGGAGGCTCTGTCCTCTGTTTCGTCTCGCTCTGTTTCGTTTTCCAAAAGCGAAAAGACGACGACGGAAGGGCTGAAGGCTAGGGTAGGGTTGCTATTGCTATCAAAATCCAAAACGACAGCGTGCGTGACTGATGCTATCGGCATCGGGTTTTGCGGGTTTTTCGGTTTTGCGGGTTTTGGTAAACCGAAACCGCTGCTGTGTGTATCGGGTTGAACCCGAAAAACCGAAACCGGCACTGTTTGTAGCGGTTTGGGTTCGGGTTAAACTGAAAACCCGAAACCGAATTGACAGGCCTAACGAGAGGTAGTCAATCCATTGCTTTGTACTGGAATCCAATTCCAGTAGTGGAGTTCTGTGTTAACTGCCTTAGCTTTCTTTCCCGGTGAAGACTAGTCGTCTGCCGGTTAGTCTGTCCAAGAGGACTTGGTCAGCTTAAGAGATTCCAAGCTACTGTCGGATCTTCCGCAGTTTAATCAACAGTAAATCAACCTAAGGAAATTACAACTTGGACCTAACTAAGGAGCTAGGGGGACTAATTCTCGAGTGACTCTTCTCTCGCTTCAAGAAACCGGACAATTTACTGCTTTCTTTCTTCTTTACTTTGACTTCAACTTCACTCAATTAGTCCCTGTAGATAATAGATAATCACGGTGTAGGCAGTAGATCTAGACCCCGGGTTGATAAATTAAACTTACCATTATTATGCATTTCCTGACTGCGATTATACTCGATCGTAGTTTGGTGTTGTGTCATGGCGTGTCACTATATGCCTCATGAAAATCCGCCCCCAAGCGCTGATGAAAGCCTTTAGCCACCAGACGTGCTTTAAACCGCTCAATAAAGCCATTTGGTAGGAACTTGACGCGAAAGACCCACCGACAACCAATCACTTTCAAGTTAGGCTGGCGCGGGACTAAGTCCCAAGTGTGACTGGCACACAGAGCTTGATTTTCGGATGCCATGGCCTGCCTCCACTCTGGATACTTGAGAGCCTCTTTTACGGAAGTGGGTTCCAACGGCGGAGAGGAAGTGTTCTGCATCTGCGTGATATGGGCAAATTTAGGGTTCGGCTTGCAGATATTATTCTTACCACGTGTAACCATGGGATGGGACGGTGGAGGTTGCCAAAAAGAAGTGGACTAAGGAGGACACACTGGCGGCGACTCGACGGAAGAAGAGGGAGTATACGCAACATCCGGCGAGGTCTCAGTGGTCGGACCTATCTCGGTGGGAATATGGGAAGGCGAGAGTTGCTGCTGAGCCGGAGAGGGAGAGACAAGTGATGGTGCTGGCTGGAAGGGAACTGCAAAAACAACAGGAAGAAACATAGCTAGCGAGGACGAGAGAAAAGGACCTAGAGAAAGACTCGACAATGCTAGGAAGGAAGTGACACCAGGAAATTCACTCTCAACAAAAACAACGTGACGGGAAGTATAAAGACGCTGATTGGAGAGATCAAAGCACCGATAGGCACTCTGCTGACAAGAGTACCCGAGAAAAACACAAGGACGAGAACATGATTCAAGTTTATGTGAGGAGTAAGGACGGAGCCATGGATAATAGACAGAATCGAAAACACGAAGCTTTGAGTAATTGGGAGACTTGGTAAAGAGAACAGTAAAGGGAACCCGACCACGCAGGGAAGACGACGAAAGACGATTGATAAGGTAAACAATAGTTGAAAAGTCATACGACGAGTAGGTTAGGGGGAGACTAGCTCAATGAAGCAAAGTAAGACTAGTTTCAACGATATGATGATGCTTACGTTCAGAAAGACCATTATGCTCAGGTGTGTCAAAAGATGAGTAATTCCGTGAGCGAACAGTTCATGACGAAGCTTTTCATACTCGCCTCCCCTGGGGTGTATAGCCTACGAATATTTGTGGAAAAAATAGTTCTCAACAAGATGTTTGAAAGCAACAAAGACAGATAAAACATTATATTTATGACGAAGAGGATAGAACCATGATAACGAGTATAATGGTCAACAAGAACAAGATAATAAGATTAACCATCGATTGAATTAACAAAGGAAGGACCCCAAACATCCGAGAATAACAAATCCAAAGGGCGAGAACTAGAAAGACTCGACACACTAAAGGGAAGTTAATGACTCTTAGAACAAAGAGACGAATTACACGAAGAAAGAGCCGAGTGTGTAACAGGAAGGACACGAAGAAGATGAGACATGGCCCTAGCAGACGCATGACCAAGGCGACATTACCAGAGATCTGGAGTATTTTGAGTAGTAACCAGCACATACCGAGCAGCTCCAGCACCATCACTAAGCTCTTACGTATCACCGTTGTTCCTTCCGGTCAGCAGCGCCGCTCCTTTTTTAGATCCTTCACAACAAAAAGAAGGCGCTTACAAAGGCCAGGCACACTTAATATATTAGTGAGATTCAAGAGACAAGCCGGAGTCTCGAGAGAAGAGGAACCATGTCGGTAATGGCCAAACCTGAGCCATCGCCAAGATAAACCTCGTCAGGACCGCTGTAGTCGGAGTAGAGAGCCAAATTGCCAAGGTTATGGATCACATGATGGGTAGTCGCGGAGTCCATGAGCCAAGGATCAACAGTAGGTGCTTACGGGTGAGAGGAAGAAGCAATAGTGGTGTTATTAGCTTGGGTTCGTTTGTGGGGAAAAAGTTGAAAGCATTGACGAACCGAGTGCCTCATTTTCTCGCAGTATTGACAGATGACGCAAGCGGGTTGACGATCATCATCCCCACAAGAAGACTCCCACGAACCAAGAGAGGCAAACCGAGAAGAAGAGGACGAACGTCCCAAGCCGTGACCTGCGGCACCACCGTGACGTTCACGACCGCGACCACGTTGAGTGGCAAAGGCAGTAGCGGGAGACTCAGTAGAAGCTTAGGCAGCGCGGAGATCAGCTTCCAGAGTCACGAGCCGATCGAGGGTATCCTCAAGCGAAGGAGTTACGTCGCAAGCACGAATCGCAACAGAGAATTCGCGGTAGTTAGGCCCAACACCGCGCAAGCATAAGGTAACCAGTTCAGCATCAGATTCGGGAGCACCAACAAGTGCGAGCTCCGTAGCATGAGTACGAAGCTGTTGAACAAAAGCAAAAATATCCCGATCCCCCTTCGTTTCACCATACAAGCGATCATGGGGGGTCATAACCCGGGATTGGGACGTCCCGGCATAAAGCCGTTGAAGGGTCGCCTATGCTGTATGAGACGTGGCCGACGAGCTGATAAAAGGAAGAACTCCTTCAGAGACAGAAACAAATATCCCATTCAGCAGAAGTTGGTCTTGACGATACCAATGAAGATAAGCTGGATTGCAAGCAGAGACACCGTCATCCGTGACCGTAGCGGCTGGGGCAGGAACAGAACCATCAAGATACCCCATGAGGTCGAGGCCAACCATGAGGGACAACAACTGAGTGAGCCACGATGGAAAATTCTAGACGGTGAGCTTCAACGGAAGGAAGGAGACCGGATTGAACGTGACAATGAGAGCCTCACCACCAGCACCGCCGGAGGTAACCTCATCGAACGACTCGGAGCTGACACCAAACATTGCGACACCGACAAAGGAAGAAAGGGCAGATACTGAGCTTGGGTGCCGGCAAAAGTAGACGCTGATCGTGGGCGTCGACGAAAGAAAAAAATAATAATTTAGGGTTGCTGGGGTTGGAAAGCCAGCTTTGATACCATGTAAGATTTGGGCTAAACATGTGTAATATTATTAACACAAGGGGTATTTATACCCAAGGATTACAAGAGTAGTATACTACAAGGACTAGAATTACATAATGAGTAGGTAACTTAGATTACAAGTAAATAGACATGTTACTTATCCCTAATAGAGACGAGACCAGACGTTCCAATGCCATCTGAAACTCCCCTTGATCACACAGCAAGGATTAGCTTCCCTGGCTTCTCCCTGACGTTCCGACGCTAGCTTCCTGGATTTTCACAAGATGCTCTGACGCCAATGCTTCCACCTCTATCGGCTTCCACACCTCTATCGGCTTCTCCTGTCGATGGCAAGCTGCCGGCTTTAAAAGTCGGATTTGTCTGGTCAAAAGAATCAGGGGAGTACAGAGGAAGACAAAACTTCTGTCGGGTGTGCTGTGTGCATGGGGGAGGGGTGTGAATTTGTTGTTTTCTAATTAATTGACATTAGAGATAAATAAAATAATTAAAAACTGAAACAGGAGTAAATAAGGGGCAATTAGGTAATTTCCTAGCTCATTTAACGGTCACTTAACAAAAAATTAGATGGAAGGGTAAACTTGTTACGTTTTAATATTAGAAGGATATGTTTGTGTAAAAATTTAGTTTAGAGATACGTTTGTCAATTTATTATAGTACAGTGAGTACAAAATGCTATTTACTAACTAATGGGTAGACAACTAGACTCATGAATGAATGTTCAAACGACACAAGTTGCACTTCGCCGGAGGGCAGCTCGTGGAGGATCGCCGTCCAGTTTTGAATCCCCGACGGGTGCAGGGACGACTCGTCGCCGACCGTGACCACACGAAGCCGGTAGTTCGTCGAGCCGTCGGAGAGTTTCTGGTACTCGCCGCCGTCCACGCGGTAAAGGTCAAGTGGATCGTTGAGATACTTGTCGTTGTGAACCGACACCGCGAACTCAGCCATATCCTTCACGTGCTTCGCCTTTGGATCCTGTAGCGGTAGCCATTCACCGCCGGCGGCTGCTGCTGCTTTGGCGACGGCGGATATGATGGCGACGACAGCAATCGTGACGAGCAGAAAGGGAGCTGGCCTCTTCGTCATCATTAAAATTGGTATTGGTTCATCAAAGATTCTCATTGGAAGATAGGCTGTTCATGCCCAGCGAATTAATTCCCTTCCGTCCCCAGCAATTGTCTCCTCAAAAGTCCCTGGCCCAAGAGATCGCCTTGAGCATGGCATTCGGGTAACCCTCCTTCTCCAGATCTCGATTATTCTTCAGTCGTTCCTCTCCATTTCTTAGATTTAGCTGCAATGGCTATTCGTTTTGCTTCTGCGCTCGTTGGTTCTGGATCTCCATTTTCATAATCCATTCGATTGGTTGGATGTTTGCTTAAATCTATTGTTATCCTCCTGGGCTCGAATTAATTGATGCGCTACTGAAAAAATCTCTGTCGGCGGTCGGCGGACGGAGGATTCCTCGACCATCTCCAAGTCAAGCAGAAGAGGTGGTACTTCGCCAAGCTCAGCGTTGTGATGTCGATGGTGGTGAAGGGGTCGACGAGAGGGTGGATTCCGATGAAAAGGATAGGGGACAGTCGGTCAAGGTGACCATCAGCGATGGGGGGCCGTCATTGACGAACTCGCCGGTGAGTTTAGCCATTGATGACGACGATGCGCAATTTGCGTCACCGCACCTGTAAAAGGTAATTGCGATAATAGTTAAGTTTTTAGTTAATTCCTTTCTTAATTATCACCATTATGATTTCCGTTGCTAGTTATTAGCCTTTATTATTCCCTTAATTTACGTTCTCATCAATAATTATCTTTTAGTAATCTAATTAATTTTCCTTTTATATTTATGACTGTTATAAATTTATCATTATTGACATTTCTTCGTTTGAACTTTTGATAGTCATTTATTTGGCTTTAAAGTAGGAATACATGTTCAAATTACAAATTTCTTTCCTTACTTTTTAAGTGTAGGGTATAAACTTGTTGTGTTTAATTATTATAGTAAATATTTATTAATATTTTGCACCCATTGATTATAATGTACAAATCTTTTAAGAGTTTGAATTATATTGTTGGTGGTGTATTTTCGATAATATCGACTTTGTCGTAAGGGCAAGATTTAATCTCTTATAATAGAGATTTCTAGCACCATAGTCGTGCCTTTTTATTAGTCATTTGCAGGTGCTCATCTGGTATGAAAATAATTGAAGGACGTGCTATAATCTTCATCGATCTATCAGGTGATTGTTCGATTTTATTCGCTTCATCAAATTTATGAGATCAATTAAGCATGTTCTGTCAAAGATTGCTAATGCATTTTTCTTTTCTTTGTTGTGGTTTTTGTGGCAACTCGATACTGGTCATCTGGCATACTTCGTCGAAGGAAACTACACTCGTTGGCGGGACTTTCTTGGAGATATTGGGTTTTTATTTTTGTTTTTTTCCCGTCAGTGTCGTGTCTTTGCTCCTCGGAGCTTCTTCAGAGCTGCCCAAGTAGTGGCTTAACAAGCTCTTTCATCGTAGTCTGGTTGCATACGGACTGTCGCGCAGTGTTTGAGTCGGTCATGTTCTCGTGTCGAGTCTTTGTCCCATGCCCTTTGGGCTTGCCTTGGAAAAAAAAAAAAAAAAAAAAAAAACTAGACTCATGAATCATGATCATTGACTAACTGGCCCTGAGTTCGAATGCCATTATCTCCTTCTTCTTCCTCCTCATCACGCAAGAGTTCCCCAGAGATTCAGTTTTGTCGCTGGTGAGTATTTTGAACTTAGATCCTTTTTATTAATCACATCATCCATAACCCACCACCATACAGGACACAATCAACTCGTTCGTTCGATATTCTTTGAATAGCATTAGTTCCACATATCTATCTCCATCAAAATGTACAAGAAGGCGAGGCCCCCGGCCCACCGAAGTAGAAATGGGCCCCGGGCGACGGCGAGGCAACTCTGGGCCCGAAATCGATGTTGTAGCAGGGCTCCCTCGACGTGAAGGTCTCGATTCTTTCTGGGTCCGTCGCCACTCCGTCGCTGGTCAAGTAGGCCGCGTTCTGAAAGTAGCAGGCTTGGCTGAAACCTTCGCCGGCGTAACGCCCGCTCCCCATTTCGGTAGCGGTGTGGCCACCGTCCTCCAGGCTCTTGCTGTTCACCACCTCACCGCCCCAACTGACCCGATTTGATCTCTCTGCCAGGCTCGTGAAAATGACCGGCGGGAAGTACCCCATTTCCTCTCCTTGGAAGGTCAGCCACCAGTTCCCGGTCTCCAAGTCCTGAAGTAGATCGTGACCAATAAAAAAAAAAAAATTTAGCCAGTATTAAAATTTTAATTTTGGAAACCATATGGTAAATATATGTATGAGTGCGTTTGGATATAACGATGTTTGTATTTGGTATTTGGGATTTGGATTTTTCGAATACTAGATTATTTATCTGGGTATTGATTATATATTGTATTTGGATTTATACCAAATTTAAAGAGTGATTTTTGAATCTATATCTAGTGTATTACTTGTAAATTTCAAATATCTATCAACAACGAGTTATTTGATATTCCTTTTTGTAAAATTTTACAAGTTCAGGTATTATAGTGTAAGGCAAAAGATATAAAGGTACAAAAACCTAATTTTACCATCATAATTTCCGGACCACTTTGTAAAAAATTGAAGTTCTGGGACTAACTTGGAAGAAAAATAAATTTGAGTACCAAAATATAATTCCAAAAAGTATAGTATGTCACCCAGAAATTGAAAATTAAAATAAAAAGCATAAAATATGAAATAGCAAATAAATTATAAATGAGCATTCAAAAATTGAATTCAATTACATGTATTTCAAATATATACGGTCTAAAATTTTTATGCAAGTATTTCAAATAAATGCATTTCAAATACATTGCATTTTAAATAAATACAAATAAGTGATCTCACCTTGTGGATGGTCATCAAAACCTGTCTCTGAGGCTGACCGTAGGATGAAACAGGACCTATAGGCTCACCCAAGGCGTACTTGTTACTTGTTTGGACGAAACCAGGGCACTCCAAATTGTAACACCCGGTCGAATTGTACTCGTCTCTCTGCCCACAAAAATTCGCAGTCCATAGACCAAATGAAAAATTACTTCATCAATTTGATTTGTTAATTTCCTGTTCATGTTGGAAAGTACTATATATTGTGATAAGATAGAGTAAAAGCAAGCGTCCCAACTTACAGTCCAAGATGTGAATATGCTTGGCTGGTTTTGTTTCTTGGTGACCTGCAGGAATTCAAACACAACAACCGATCACTATTCTTCTAATTTCAAATTGTTTTTATACAGTAAAATGATGATCTCAGTATGCAATACGAGAGAAATTAAACAAGTGTTGTACGACATAGAATGGGATTAAAAACCAATAAAATAGTTGTCATAATTTTTTATTTATAGGGCTTGATAAAATCATTGGCGGAGCTAGAAATCGAAATGAATAGGAGGGGCTGATTATAATTGTCGCAATTGAAAGGAGGTGGGGCTAAAGGATTACCGACTATTCCAATTCCTAAATTTATACCAAATTTACATGTAATTTCACCTGTATTTCAAAGTTAAGGGAACTACGGCTCTTCCTATCTTCCATCTATCTCCACCGCTGAATGAAAGATTACGTTATAACAAAAGTCAATAAATAAAAAAAAGCAAACAGAGATATGATATATATTATATAGAGATATCATCGTTGATTTTCAATATGATATATGAACATCTCAAGTTTGTATCCCATTAGTGAGGAATATACTTCTCTTACACAAGATAACAGATAAAAACAAAAATGAAATCAAATTAAATTAAATCAAGGACTCACCATCCAACCAAACTCGATGACATTGACTTCTGGGCCAGCATAGACCCAAAGTTGGGCCGTGCTGAATTCGTTATCCCCTTCTACTTTTGGGCTCCACACGTTGATATTTGCCGTCGCTCCATAGTAGTTGCCTCCAAAGATGGACGCTTGAACGAACTGGAAAAACAATTTGAGTACTTAATTTGCTGAGCACATTTATCACCCATATCAATTGTCACCTCACCTCATGACCTGTAGGGTCGGTTTCCTTGCCATCCAGGTGGTTGCCCCCGCCGCGATGATCGGCGAATGATGTCGGAACACGTGCCGTCTTACGTGGCACATTCAGTTTTGATCTGGTAATGGGTATGGTTCCAGGAGGGCAAAAACCTCCATTCTTGTGCCAATTCTGGATCAGCTGCGGGTTTGAAGTTGAACTATTGTGGTGCGAGTGATTTGGTGTCTTGATTCCATGTGGATATGAACTGGGCTTCATCTGCAGATAAAGCCCAAATGTTCATTTTATGAATAAACCCAAACATATTAGCATGTTGCATCTATCAATGAATGAATCAGATGGATGCATGGTTGGAAACTTGAAGCGAAGGATCAAGAATAGATAAGAATAATCATTTTTTTGGGATGAATTAAAAGATCACCAATTCAATAAGATTTTCAGATCCAGTCATGAACATCATTTTGGGATATATTAATAACACCAACCATAAAAGAAAAGAATAATCACACAATAGATTTAAAAGAAAACCAGAGATACTATAACATCACTCGACAGTTTCAAGATCTCATCGACAGAAATTGGGAGGTTCAAATCTCCCCTACTTTCAGGGAATGTATCACATTTTCAGCATTTCGAATCCAGACATTTCCTTCTGGATTCTGTATGACACTATGGGCATTGCCCAAGATCGTTTAATTTAAGACTTAAGTGCCAGACAGGGGTGTCATTTTAGCACCACATTTTCTAAAAAAAAAAAAATCTATCCACAAAATGAATTGGTGCAACAACCCACCCACTAAACCGTGGTTAGGAGAAAACTAATACCTGGATAACATGATTCTTGAGAAGCGGATGTCTCAAAGCCGGTTGCTTGTATAGTTGCACACAATCAATCACACCACCATCTGCACTCTGCAAGATTTGCACAAAGAATAACTAACCATTACCACCACAATGGAAAACGATTTTGCGACTAAATATGAGAGGTTGCCAAAAACAAAGAGTGATGCAGTCAGAATCTTTAGTAACCGTGTTCCTCATTTTCAGTGACCATGGTTTGGTCGCAGAAATTTCCTTTTCTTGCATACAAATATACATTTATAATTTAGTGAAGAAAAAAATTACGGTATCCTGGAATTGACGAATTACCTTTATTGTTTTAGCAACACCACTGGTACTGCTGGATGCTTGAACTGGAACATGGAGGGATTTGGTTAAAGCCAAGACAAGTATTACTGATGCCCAAAACAATGAATTGATGTTTTTCTGAGTTTCCATTGCCATAATGGACTCTGAAAAGTTGAGAGGACTGCACAAGAGAAGCTATCATGTTCTAATTTATATACCCCAAATCTAACAAATCAGTTTATGTATGGAAAAAACCGATCATCAAATCATGTTTCTCTAGTCTCGTAAAAAACTTTACTTCTTTACTTTCGTATCTTGTTTTTTTATGGTAATACAATTAATGAATTGAGTCACTTTCGTATCCGAGAATTAAAACTATTTGGAATTCAGAAGCAGTAAAGCATAACTAGATTTGGGGAAGATTTTCCACCAAAAATGAGAAAAGAGGTTCAGAAAAATATTAACGCTCTCATACTCGGTAGGTGGAGCGTTATCTATCATTAGGATGGAAGTACATTTGGTAAAAGGTCAGATATGCAAAATCCTACAAATTCTCATTTCAGTCCATCCATTGGTCGCCACTAATAACCCAAAGTTAATGCAAGGATAAGGAGGGGCGACATGATAACTTATTTACCTCTCTATTTTATTTTTTACTTTCACTGACATGGATTACAGAGAAGATTGATGTGACTTTTGGACAATTAAAATCTTTTTTTTTATAGTTCTCATTTTTCTTAACCAAATAATATCTTTTTTGTTTTAACTTAAATTTTTTTTAAATTGAATAAATAGAACACACTAACTATGATCGAGACACAATGAGGGACCATATAGGGTTTGCGATGGAAATTATATATCCATGAATAATTTTTACCCGAATCCAAGTAAACCTAAAATTAATGATATATAAAACATAAAAAACCTAACTAGACTACTAACATACGTATTACTTGGCCCATGCAAGCAACTCCTAACCACATACTAACGAATAACATACTTGGCCCAATCCAACTTCATCTGACAATTGGAGGGAGCAGGTCTCCTTTAATTTTTCCTTTGATAATGGGGTTATTTTGTTGAAGGGAGTTTGGAGTTAAGTTTTGGGTTGCGACTTGACTTGGGAAAAGAGAGAACTGGGCCCAAAGCAATGAAGGCTGGAAGTATAGCCAATAATTAGCTCTCTTGTAGGAAGAGGGTTTGGCTCTGGCCTAGTGTGGCCCAGCCTTGGATCCGCCGATGTTGAGTACGAGAGTAGAAAGCGAGAGTTGTGTGATCATTAGAGGAGTTATCGGACTTCAAATGAGATAGTTAATTAATTGGCTATACGAGAGTAAACAATAATCGACTAGCTAGTACGTAGTGATTCTTCGGAAAGATAGCTATCACTCCAGAGATAACTTCAGTCATTTGAGTGAGAATTAAATTTATTAATAAATGAATTGTATCAGGTAATTAGGTAGTGAATTTCAGGTCGTCTTTACTCAAAGCTTCTCTCCATTGATTTTCTCTAACTCAAGTTCTCACTTGCTTTTCTTGTTTAGTTATTTCTTTTAATTTGTTTGTCACTTAAATACTTTTTTTCTTTTGAGTTCCTTAGTTCCGAGTGTTAAATCTAGAATTGTACCAAACTCTATGAAACGATAATTTACTTATCTTTATTACTCGATCGGTAAAGTGCTTATACATTTTTGGTGCATCAACACCCATAAAGATTTATAGTAGATTTTCACAAGCACACGCTTTAAAGAATCATTGCTACATAAAAGTAGATAGTCATTTAATAACGGGGGCCAAAACTGCTACCGTCACCGTGAAGCAACGGATTCGGGGAAACCACGGGTCCCCGTTACCCGGTAGAAACACTAAATAATTAACATATTCAAACAAGAAAGTAACTGGAAAAACATGTAATTCAGTTCAAATTCAAAGTTGAGAACCATCAAAAGCAGCTTAACATAAAGCCTATAAAACTGCAACCCTCCCACCACCCAGAACTCTGAATTTTCAAGAGTTCCTCAATTGTTCATCAACTGTCTCATAGTCATAAGTAGCAAAGAAAAAACAAGTAAACAACTCAAACTCTAAAAGGCAATAAGCCACACACCATTGTTCAAATTTGGAACAGAACTACTGAACCATAACTAATGATCCATTGATCCGAACATCCACTATCCAGCACCAGCAATGCATCAACCAGATTTGAAGAACAGAAGCAGTCAAGCAGCACATGACAATTGACATTCATTCCCTCCAAGAAAACAAAAATATGAAGGAACAGATACAAGCTTATAATAAATGAGATAAGTCAGTTTGAATGTATTATATACCTTCTCTTCTGAGGTTCCAATAATCAGTCATCAAAGGATAATGAATGATTGACAGCCTGGATGGAGAGAATTTCACGAGGGAATCGAATCGATGGATTGAGCGACGATTGAGAGAAGAGAAGAGAGACTGAGAGAGCGGTGAGTTTCCAATTAGGGATTATGGGAATATTACGACGTCGTTTTATGGATCGGAGCGGGCATGGGGCGAATAGCATGGACTCCGTCACCGCCCGACATCCGTTACCCACGGATAACGGGTTTCCCCGAATCAAACAATTCCCCGTCAACGCCGGGTAGGAACTGCTCCGCCAGCCAGATTTCGGGCGGGTACCCGCCCACGCGGTCTGAAATGCCATCCCTACGCTTGAATGGTCTTGATTTGGAAATATCATAATTGAATTTTTTTGTTAGGTTTGAGATTCAAAAATAGAGGTTGATTTATGAAGTCGTCAGGGTTTCAACTTTAGAGTATCATAAAATCATTTTTCTGGATACTTCTTAATTTTCTTTTTCAATAATCAATATTTCAAAAGTTACACCGAGCACATGGATCGGGTAGCTTGCTAACCCCTCTATGAGGTTGGAAAAATGACATTGCCTATTAATTATAGTTAATTATGATATTAAATTCGTGTTGCATTTAATAATTTTTGGGAATTAAAAATTCATATTAATTACATTCTTTTTTTAACTACCATTGCACTGATACAACTATATATCATTGCACCTGTACACTAAACTCATATTAATTACATTTTTTTTAACTACCATTGAACTGATACAACTACCATTGCATCTGTACACTGATTATCATTGCACGGGTAGAACTACCATTGCACTGAAAAAAGGAAAGTAATTAATATGAGTTCTTTATTTAGACAGATTATTAAATGCAACACAAATCAATTATCTTAAAAGTCTATAATTAATAGGCGTGTTATTTTTCCAACCCCTTTAATGGTAGTCATACTATCTCACCCTCTGAGCACATGAGTTATAGATTCTAAGGAAACTAAATGAATTATTTTCATCTATGAGTTCACAACAACTCACACTTAAGGAAAATCATTAATAACAAAACTAAAAGTACGAAGATATGATTAATTAGCAGAGTTAGTGAATGACAAGACCATGTCAAATTTGATAACTTTCCTTAATACCAGTCAACATTATTATAAATGACTTCCCTTAATACAGTCAAGCTCCCATTTGAATGAACTAAACAATCAATATAAAATTAGTCCTACCGGACAAATATCTTTTTATACCACCACAACACACCATGGAGATTGTTAAAGTTCATCCCGAACTCATAAGTCTCAAGATTTGCATAATTCTTCTGGTATTATCATCATCACACCCATTTCACAAGTTTAGCAAAGGAAACTTGGTTAATCCTAAAAGCGTATGGAAAACCATAAAGGTAATCAGAAGAAAAGTTCACGAATTCTATCTTTCTTCTTTCGTTCTGGCCACACCATATCTTTGCTATGAATCATACGTTTTCTCTTATTGTAGGGGGAAGATGGTAAAACTATTGATTGTGTCGACATACATCAACAACCGGCTTTTAGCCATCCCCTCCTTAAGAATCACACCATACAAGTTAGTTCTCGCGTATACACAACTCAAGTTTGTAACAGATATACTAACAAGCATCCTATGCATCATATTCGAGCTCTTGAATTTAGCTAATGCGTATAGATGTTAATATATATGGGCTGATGTCAATGGACATCGTAGTATGAAATGTCGACCGTTGAATGCATGTGCTGCCTTATTTACAAACTATATATCACCATGTACATCCAAATAAAGAGATCATAATACTATACTATTCATTGACGTCTACCTATGTTGATGCGTACCATCAATATACATAATTGCCACATATTGCTATGTCATAACCAATCAACATATATTTTTTCCATATTGCTAAGTGATAACCATAATGATTTTGTAGATGAAACCGACTTCGTACCCTCGAGATGATCGGTTCAAGGCGATAATCACAAGCCCTAAGTACTATAAAAATTCTTCCGGCCTTAATCGAATTCATTGTCCTGAGGGAACAATTCCAATTCTAAGATCACAAATGAAATTCCCACATTACAACAAATTCCCCTCACAGAATGACAACAATATCACCAACGAGGTATGATTTTTTTTTGTTCGTGAACAATTTTCAACCTCTGAAAATGTACATATTAATGTCCATAAATAATTTTCACTAATTTGATATTACTATATCCCTGATTACATACAGTTCGGAATAGCAGTTTACCCTAGAGGGACTTACTATGGAGCAATTGGAAACCTCAATGTATGGAGTCCATCCACGTTTGGTTTAGAATTCAGCTTAGCTCAAGCGTGGGTCACAGATGGGGAAGGCCAAGACTACAATTCAGTAGAGGCGGGTTGGATCGTAAGTCATCATCCTAAGTACATGTTTTTTTTTTTTTTAATTTTTGATTTACTAAATATTGAATTTGGGAGAGAAACTCCAGGTTAGGCAATCGTCAAACACCAGCCAACCAACCCTTTTCATATCTTGGACTGTAAGTAAAAAATTTTCCTGCTTGAATACTAGATCATCCACATATGTTTTTAGCCCTTGTTGACCCCTTTTATTATTTCAAAATATGGATAGTCTGATGGCTACGGATCCACTGGATGCTACAATTTGGATTGTCCTGGTTTTGTTCAAACATCCCAGGAAGTCACACTTGGTGAAGTCTTAACCCCAGTTTCATCTTATGATGGGCCCCAATACCAAGTTACCATTGCCATCCACAAGGTAATAAATTATCTCCCATTAATTTCGTAATACGAAAAAACTAATAGCTTAAAAGAATACTCGTGCGTATAATATGCGTAACTTTTCTGTATCTTATTTTTGTTGCAGGACATAGGGACCGGAAATTGGTGGTTGAATTTCCAGGGTAGAACGGTAGGATACTGGCCGCGTTACATATTCAGTGGACTGAGGACAAGCGCAAGCTTAATAGCTTGGGGTGGGGTGATTGGTGATTCACACCCACAAGGCACCCACACAACTACTCAAATGGGAAGTGGGCATTTTGCCAATGAAGGGCGTGGCAAGGCGGCTTTCGTGGACAATCTAGGGTTTGTGGATGAAGGTGAACATGTTAAGGATGCTAAGACCCTGTTAGGATATGCCACAAACCCAGCTTGTTATAGTGTCGAGGTTGGAGATTGGAATAATATTGAAAAGACACATTTTTACTATGGAGGCCCAGGATGGTCACCCAATTGTACATAGTGATGGTAAAAGAGAATATATAGTTGGAATGTGAAATAAATGAGAAGAACAAGCGAGGAGGTTGGGAATTGGAATTTGTGTTTTTGGTTTTGTGGGTGATGAAATAAGCTTGTGTTCATATCCGATGAATGGAATGAGTGGATTATTTTGATTGTGAATTGTATTCTTTTTCATCGAGATAATCTGCGTGTTTGAATGCGATTGATGTACCTTGACTTGATATTTTTTCCAACGACTCTAAGGTCCAGTTCACACATCCTTGAACACAGTTCAAACAATGGTGTTTGATTTGTGATTTTTTTTAAATAAACTACTTTAAGTTACACATACTCTTATGGAGGTTCAAGAGTTTCAAACTATGACTATTACTACTTAAATAGAAAAGGCAAAACATAGCATATGTATCAACTGTGTGGTTTTGCAAACTCTTGCAATGTTGGCACCTCCTATTTATAGCCAATGTGGTGATAATCAGAGTACAGAACTGGCAACTTGATAACTCTTATAAAGAACTGCTCTCCCTTCTATGGATGTGGTAGGCATTTCTTTAAATCAAGGATTCTGAAACCAAAGTTATACCAAAATCTCAATGGTAGGAAGATATTTTGTACTATCTATAATTGTGAGTTAATCATTGTTCAACCATGTTGCATGGATAAAACTGCCTGTCGATTTGGGGTCTGATACCCTGTATTTTTTGGTCTGATAAGCCACTAAGGTACAGATTCTAAAACATTGTTTTAAAATTATGATGAGTGGTAGTTACTCTCTCAACTGGCTAGGCGACTTGTCTCCTTCCAACCCTCACACCTTGTAGTGTCAAATATCATATCATGCCTTTGTGACATTGGTTTGCCAAATAACTCTATCTCAAGGTCCATAATATAATTAAACAATACTTCTAACACAAGGATTAAAGGCTAATTACAATCAACACCCAATACTTCTAACACATCCCGGTCACAAGGACGACGATATGGGCACTTAGGCCTGGAGCGGGAGGTGATGATTGGTGACATGAGTACCTTTCCATTCTTTGGCAAGGGCGGCGATTGAGACTCAATGGCAGAGGTGTAGATGGCGATGCTCAATACGACAATATAGAGGGGGATGACGATGGCATATCAGATGTACCTTTCCTTTCCATCAGCGTCGGCTGCTCTGGACTGCTAATCGACTAGTTCTGGTCGGCCTTCTCGATGAAAATTTTCACTGTTGTCAAAATAGAAGCGTGCAATCGATAATGCAGATCAACTCAAACAAACACAAATTTAACGTGGTTCACTAAGACAATGTGTGCTAGGTAATCCACGGGTAGGGGAGAACAAATTTCACTAATTTTAGGAGAGTACAGGTTACAAACAAAATTCCGAAACATACTAAACAAATTAACCTGACTGACCTAACAACATATTAGGGTGATGAAGAGTATTTACAGAACTCTTCTCCTAATCCCAAACATAAAACCAAACACATTTTCCCAAACATACAAGGAAAAGATCAAAACAAAGTCCAAACCCAAACAAAATAGGCCAAAACTACAAAACAGACCCAAAACAAATTCAAGTCATATCCTAACAATATCCACATTGATTTGAATTCTTTGTCACATACCAGATATACCAGACGCAACCAAAGTTGCCAAATGTACCCAACTTTTCCAAATCAGCTGTACTAGAATCTCCCCTGCTCTAAATGCCCCTAAGAAAGGTCAACAAACCAAACCATTTGGCAAGTCTAACCCATGCTGAGCCTTGCCATCCAGAACCAGCTTTGTGCACTTATCACCAACAGAATATGTCAAAACAGAACATTGTAGACTATACACGGCACCAACCTTGATACCTTTCAGAATCACCTAGAACAACACTCCACCTTCAACTTTGAAACTGAAACTCTTGCCGTCGAGTAGACTCAAAGATATCAGATTCTTAGTCATCTCTGGAATATGCCTAACAATGTTCAAGGTGCGAACAAAACCATTATGTGTCCTTATCCTGACGGGGCCCCTTCCAACAACCTTACAGATAACACCATTGGCCATAGAAACATGTCCTCCATCTATGTACTCATAAATTGAAAAAAACTCCATGTTTGGACACATATGATAATCAGCTGTAGTATGTAAATAACACACATCCTGATGATGTACCTGCTCATTCACTGCTAAGGCTAAACCATCTTAAAAATCATAGTAGTTTCTTCCGCCAAAGCAGCAGATGATTTCTTCTTTTCCTTATATTTCTTTAGTTTAGGACAATCAAATTTCTAATGTCCTTTCTCCTCACAGTAATGACAGATATCATCATCCTTCAAATCAATAGAATTCGAATTTATATTAGCCTTCCTACTACCATATTGTTGTCTCCTACTACTCGTTGCAGCCAACCTAGATGCCTGATTTTCCAACCCTTAACCAGATGCCTTATTTCGAATCTCTCTAGTATGTAAAGCATATCTGACTTCTTCCAAAGACAAACTATCTTTCCCAGCAATAAAAGAATCCACAAAATTCTCATATGAATGTGGCAAAGGTACTAACAGAATTAAGGCAACATACCTGAGAGACTTACCTTCCTACATATGCAAACTGAACAAACGTTGCTTCAGATGCAACTTATTGGTTAAAGACTTTGTCATGTATAGACTTTCAAGCTTCAACCACAAGCCCGCAACAGTCTTCTCATCAGCAACCTCGGTGATGATGTCATCAGCCAAACAAAGCAAGATTGTAGAGTGAAAACAAAGCAAGATTAGTATAGTTCAAAACTGTTGACCTCATATCTCCAAAGCAAATTAAGGTCCAATATTCCAAATCTTCTAACCGAGCGGACAACTCCAATCACAGAAAATGAAATTCTAATAATTCCACCAAGGCATCAACACAATTGTTTACTGATTCTAGGCTTGAAAAGTACTACAACCGAGCCAATTGGAATTTTCACAAACGGAATAAATTCCCAATTAAGGTGAAGGTTCTTACCTGCGGCCAATTTGTCTTCTTCCTTCAGGCTCATACCACTGAAAGAAAACAGACGAGAAAACTCAAAATTCCAATCCGAATTTGTGCAAATCCCCATAACTACAACCGCGGCTCTAATTCGACTTGTCAAAACAGAAGCGTTCAATCGATAATGTAGATTAAGTCAAACAAAAACAAATTTAGCGTGATTCACTAGCACAATGTGTGCTAGCTAATCCATGGGCAGGGGAGAACAAATTTCACTAATTTGAGGACAGTAGAGGTTACAAGCCAAATTTCGAAACATACCAAACAAACTAACCTGACTAACCTAACAACAAATTAGGGTGATGAAGAGTATTTATAGAATTCTTCTCCTAATCCCAAACAGAAAACCAAACACCTTTCCCAAACACATACTAGGAAAAGGTCAAAACAAAGCCCAAACACAAACCCAAACAAAATAGGCCCAAAATACAAAACAAACCCAAAACAAATTCAAGTCATATGCTAACACTGGCAAATGAAGGAGCCGTTGCTTTTGCTGTTGCTGGCTGGAGATTTGGGATTTGTCGTCGGATCCTTTTTGTGGCAGTGGTGTTTGATATCCAGCAATGAAAAAACCCATAGCAGGGAAGTCAAAAATCCCCTCTGATTAGCTGCTCTAAGTATAGGAAGTGCCTCTAGGTTGTAGGCTATGGGTGGCTTCTTTGCCAGGGCCTTCTCGCTATGCAGAGTGGGAAAGAAGGTGATGATTTTTGAAGCCGGAGAGAGGCTGCTGCTCGGAAACAACGGGATCTCGATGACGATGAACTGGAGAGAAGATCAATTGGAGATGGAGGTAACAAAAGGAGCATTCAATCAAGGTCTGGGATGGCTACAACTGTTGAGTATGTGAATAGTTTGTAAAATCTAAAGGAAAGTCCTTGAAAAAGGTAAGTGAAGTAAATTCGGATTAATTCTCTGTATTGAAGGAAACTTTTCTTCAATCAGAATTAATTGACCGAATTAATGGAAAGTTCCAATCAATTTGATTGATTTACCATATTGAAGGAATCTTTCATGATCAGATCAATCACCGATACTAACGGAAAGTTTCAATAAATCTGATTGATTTCTGGCATTGAAAAAGGAAACTTATATCAATCAGGGTTAATTCTCTGTATTAAAAGAAGGTCTAATTAGGAGTTATTACTTTTGATTTCCTTATTTAAGAAGATTCTCAATCATCCACCAAGAGAGGAAGTCAGAAGGTCTCATCCTATATAAATAGATGAGTTGCGTAACCCTAAAGAGGGAGAGCAAAAACACGAAGAGAGTGAGACTCAAAGAGCTCCGGTTTTGCACAAGCCGAAAGAAAACAAAGAGTGCTTGTTTTATCCTGGAGACGACCGAATGATAGTCTATTGTCCGCAATACGAGGCAGTGCCGCGAATGTCTTAAAGAGAGCGACCTAGTCCGCGACTTAGCCAGATCCGGTAACCAAGTTTCAATTGTTCGGTTCATAACAATTTTAAGACGTTCTTGTGCTGCTGGCCACTAAACAGAATAACATGACCGGATTTGGGGCTGTCGACATCAATCGACCCTTCCGCTTTGTTGGAGTCAACTTCCGTCGCTGGAGACAAAAGATGGAGTTCTACCTGACGACCAAGAGGCTGGCGCATTGCCTCACCTCTATGAGGAGAGGGCTGCTTCCGCCGAGGCAAGGGAGGATGACTTCTTGTGCAAGAACTACATCCTCAACAGCCTGGCGGACGACCTCATGACTATTATGCGGACAAGAAGAACACCTCAATAATGATCTGGGATGCGCTCCAAAAGAAGTACGACACGAAGGAGGCTGGAGCTAAGAAGTATGTTGTCACCCGCTACCTGCGCTACCAGATGGTGGATGACAAGTCCGTCGAAGTTCAATCCCACGAACTTCAAAAAATAGCTCATGAGATCGTCTCTGCAGGTATGCCTCTGGACGATCAGCTCCAAGTTGCTTGCATTATTGATAAGCTGCCCCCTTTGTGGAAAGTTTTTAAGAATA